TGAAGCTAATCTCCACTTAGTTTTGGCATCCGCCTGCCATTGATGAAGCCATAATAAACAGCAGGAGGAAATGTTGGAAGCAAGAGCCCTGGAGGAGAACCAGGCAGCATGTAGGGAGGAGTCAGCCGAAAACTCAGCAGCTGCCACCAACTTCTTGATATCCTGATGCGTTTGGGTCTCCTCTGAAGGAACTCTCACTTGCAACTGCTTCAGCCAGAGTAGGGAAGTCCTAACAAAAAAGGAGGTGGCCGTAGCCCCTTTACTGCCCAGGCACTAGCTAGATGAGTTTGGTGGAAATTTAATTCCCCCTTCTTATCATCCGCCTTCAGAGCTTCTGCAATGTCCCCAGATATTGCTGAGGAGGAGGCCAGAGGGTCATCTACTGAAGGCAACTCCAGGACTTCAGATAAACTGGGAGCCATATTGAAAAATCGCCTGTCGTTCCCTCCTGGATTAGGAAAGGTGCCAGGTTGGCTCCACTGTCTTTGGATCACATCCAAAAAAAGTTTGGGGCAGGGAATGTCCTCCTGAGTTATTACAGGTTCAGAGTACACAACATTATATGGCCCTTGGGGTTCCAATGGAGCCACAGATGCACTGGATGTGGCTCCTATTTGGGTAGTAGCTCTGGCCTTGTGGAGGAGCTATTTAAATAGCACTGGACGGAAAAGTCCAGTGAACTGTGGGGGGAGTCAGGGAGGTCCTGGTCATCATCTGAGAGCCTCTGTTCCTCATCCTCCATTACAGATGCCCTACTTCTACTGGAATGGAAGGGAGATACTGACCTTTGCTCCGGCCCTCCTCCCACAAGAAGCTGGAGGTGGTGGGACAGTTATTGGGGGATTCAGAAGTTATGGAGGTAGGGTATCCTCTGAACTGTAAGGTAGAGGCTGCCTCGTGAGAAATAGCCTGTGAGAAGAGGGATTTTCCTCTCACAGGCCAGATCCTGTCTGGCCTGTGAGTCCTGCCACAATGGGGGTAAAAGTAACCACTGGAGCAGATTCCCTATCCCTAAACTGAGCTCAGTCAACTGTTGTCATGCAGGCAAAGGGAAATTGCTCAACCTCATCCTGAATGACTGGAAGGGGAAAAGCCAACTGTTCACCCTCGCCCTCTGCTAACCAGTTCATAGGAACTCAACGCTAGATTGCATAGCTTGCTGAAGGCGGGAGGTGGCAGTTGCTATCTGAGGAGGGAAAGAGATACTTTCCTGCTCTGCTTTCTTCTCAGCTCTGGAAATTTGCTTCTCCAGAGCCTTCTTTCTTCTGCCAGCATCTTTTTCTTCTGCCTTTGAAGACTTCCTGGAGTAGATGGTTTTTGCTTTAATTTTTTCAGCAGCATCTTGGCTAGCTGATCCAGCTCTTCGAGAGCTGATTTCCTAGGCTGAGCCAAAGTAGAAGCTTCCTGGTTTACCATGCTGTCCTGATTACAGGAGCTGTAGCAGCCTACAAGGAGCATTTTGACAGCCTACTTCAGCAGAGCATTGCGACCACGCTTTGCTTAGTGGCTGCTGCTGCTGCTGCTGCTGCTGCTGCTGCTGCTGCTGCTGCTGCTG